TGAGAGTGTGAGTTGTGTGTGAGAGTCTGAGTTGTGTGTGTGGTGTGAGAGTGTGAGTTGTGTGTGTGGTGTGTTGTGTGTGGGAGTGTTTTGTGTGGTGTTTGTGTGTTGGTGTGTGTGTTTTGTGCGGTGTGAGAGTGTTGCGTGGTGTGTGTACTAGTGGTGAGTGTCTATTTGTTTGCGTTTCTCACTTGTGATGGGACTTTGTATGATGAACGTTGAGATTTATAAGGGGCACGGGGTGACCAATACGGTCTGAATTGGTCTGTAATAAGCTCGGGCAATGATAATGGGTTGACAGCTATGGATTAACTTCTGGTTCGGGTCTCGCCTCCCTCCACTCACCGTGAACGGGAACACCTCACCGCACTATCGTTTAGCGATGTGTTTCAAAGCGTAGGTTTCCACTCTTTCACCGAGCCTTTTCTTCCCACCATCAACCAACCCAAACGTGTGCCAGTCGCCGAACAGCTGTTTATATTTACACGTGGACGAAGGCGGCAAGCGAGCAAGCAAGCGGCAGTGAGTCGCGTGTGTGTAGACACTTGCGGCCCCCCCTGCCCCCCATGTGTTTTGGCGAGGGGCAATCTACACATATAAAGTGCCAGTGTGCATTCACACGTGCAAAGACAAATATCCCCCTTGCATAGCCTTCAGCAGGCTGTTGAGGCAAGTGGCGTTAGCGAGCGCATTTACCAAGGCCGGTACAGGTGGCCAGCATCACCGCCCGCCCGCCTTTGTCTCCCCCGTGACGATGTTTAGAGACCACCGTACCACAGGCACTCGTTTCGCAGCTCCGATTAGCACGGTTGGCTACGTACCGTTGCGAAATAGGTTCAGCAATTTGAGGCCGAGACCTTCCCGACCCGAGCGAGGCGATGCCCCCGGGTCGGTTTCGGACGATCGTGACTCCGGTGTTGGTGGGCCCCCCCGCCGCCCGAGCGGGAATCGAACTCGGGTGGCGGAACGAGTTTGTCCCACCGCTCTTAATTCGACAACGAACGCCCAAATGAATGTTTCGTGACGCTCGTGAAAGTTTACGAATCGTATCCGAGGCGCGATCTGCGAGATTCCTTTTGACCGTGTTGCTCGTTGGCAAGCCCCGTTGGCAAAGCAATGGAAATTATTATAATCAAAATATTTTTTTTAATGTTCACGGACCAACTTAAGATTCTCGTTGGAGATCCGGCAATTATGGAATGAAAGCCACCTTGTGTGCAGCAGCTGGATGGATTGTTGCACCGCAGGTGTGAACAGCTTGCAAAAGCCTTCATCCAGCAGTATGTAGATCATGACTGTTTGGTGATGGTGATAATTAAATCAGGCCCCTTGTGTGCAGTAATATTTGTTTTGGACTGCATGAAAAAATCATAATTTGATTATATTTATTGCTTGTTTTCAGCCTTATCAGTAACGGTTAACTAATGTTTAAATATATATAGACTCGATTATCCGCGCCAATGACTTGGAGGATGTCCGCGGATGATTGAAAATAGCAGATAATCCAAAAATATAGCCATTTTTCACTGATCTCTAGGCCAAAAAACACGAATATAGGAATGCATTAGTGTTTAATTTTGTCTGCCCTTGCACAGTTTTGTAAATTAAAACTCACAAAGTCATTGATTGGAAAAATCGCTAAAATTGAAGCAAAACTGACTATTTTGATAGTTACTCTTTTGATTTAGAACGAATGCTAACGATCAACCGATCGATGTGCATGCTCAGGGACAACACTTACCTGGTTCCCGTGAAGAAGACTCGGCCCGCTAAGTAGGTAGCAGAGCCACACCAATCAACATCAATCAAACTCCGCAACCCACTGTTGTAAATATATGGCAACTACTGTACTGTAGAGGCGATCAAGTGGATGTCGGATTAACCGGAGCAACTTATTTGTTCGGTTTTAAGCATGTGACTTGAAATAAACATTTCCAAGAGTAACAATGTAGGACTGTTTTTAGATAATTTGGGCTTAAGGGAAAATCCATGAATTATTAATTTATGTCAATCTCAGGTGTTTGGTTAATCCACTGAAAAGCACGCGGATAATCGAGAGTCTCCTGTATTTTGCGATAGATGAGTGGCGGAACCGTTCCTTGAACAGAGAATGACATAAATCGTTCTAGCGTTGGGCGAGAGAAGTTTTAATTTAATGCACCTCGGAGTAAAGGATTTTACGAACGTTGTCCGGGAAAAACGTTGGGCCAAGAGGGCCGATCAGATAACATTTATTTCATTTAAGTTTTCTTAATCGTGTGGTCAGACGCTGTGGTCTGTTTGATGTGAATCTAACGGTAGTTCTGCGGTTGTCTTTTTCCGTGGCTGTTCTCAACCCCCAGCCTCAACGCTGCTTAGCATCCCGATGGGCTGATGAGACCGAAGTAGATTCAGGGCAATCTTTTTTTTTCTTCAGAAAATCGATTACATTTCCTTCTCTGGCACGCTGAGCCTCACGGTATATACAGTGAGGGAAAAAAGTATTTGGTCCTCTGCTGATATTGTACGTTTGCCCACTGACAAAGAAATGATCAGTCTATAGTTTTAATGGTAGGTTTATTTGAACAGTGAGAGACAGAATAACAACAACAAAATACAGAAAACGCATGTCAAAAATGTTGCAAATTTATTTGCATTTTAATGAGGGAAATAAGTATTTGACCCCCTCTCAATCAGAGATTTCTGACTCCCAGGTGTCTTTTATACAGGTAACGAGCTGAGATTAGGAGCACACTCTTAAAGGGAGTGCTCCTAATCTCAGCTTGTTACCTGTATAAAAGACACTTGTCCACAGAAGCAATCAATCAATCAGATTCCAAACTCTCCACCATGTTTTGCAGAGGGGTCAACTACTTATTTCCCTCATTAAAATGCAAATCAATTTATGACATTTTTGACATGCCTTTTTCTGGATTTTGTTGTTATTCTGTCTCTCACAGTTCAAATAAACCTACCATTAAAATTATAGACTGATCATTTCTTTGTCAGTGGGCAAACGTACAAAATCAGCAGGGGATCAAAAATGTTTTCCCTCACTGTATATAGACAGTGCATATTTGCATCTATATTTATTACTTTTCTCTGTTGTACAGCGTCATAAGATGATGCAATTTGACATGAACGACACGATATAAAATGACTATCATTATGTTACAACGGCAACACCCGTTTTCGGGCGCCTTTCCGCGTTGACTTTTTCTATACTCTTCCCCTGCTCTGCATGGGTTTTTCTCCAGGTTTTCCAGCTTCCTACAATGCGTAACAAACAAACAAAATACGCATGCAACGTAACTGGCATTGGCTGATTACCTACAAATTTTCTCAGCTGGAATTACACAGCAGCAGCAGCATTGCACCCTGCCGGGAAAGAAAAATAAACCTAGCAGGATCCTCCTGAAAAAGCGTCTGGAGACTCGGTGAGGCTCGCGAAAAGCCGACGTGTTAAAGAATAAGAATAATGAAGACAACTTATGCAGTAGACACAACACAAATAAAGACACGGATCTCCCGTATAACCTTAATAGGTTGTTGGGGACGGTGCTGTTATGAAGCACGTTTGGAGGCCGGAACGGCACGCAGAGGGGGTGGGCGACCAGCGCCGCGCTTTGTCTTCCTGGTGGCGATGTTTTTATGCACTGCATTAGGTACGCATTTGAGTCGACCTGGGGGAAAGCCCAGGGCCGGTTCGGATAGTCATCACCGGTGTTGGTGGTGAGCGGGAATCAAACTCGGGTGGCCGGGTTTCGTAGCGCGGCACGCGCGCCACTGCACCCCGGCTCCTCGAGAAGCGATAAAGGGCACTCGCAAACTTACGCACTCGATTGCTCGTTTGAGCAGGGAGACCTCTTGCGATTCCACTCAGAACAACAAGGTTCCAACTCTGAGCCACCCACCGTCCTGACTCGGGACATAAACCACCACGCGAACTCCCGTCATCCTCGCAGTGGCGGATTTTGGCTCGACGTCGAACTTGAGACGGTCACCGCATCGCGCGGCGCTTTCAGATGCGCTTCCTGCCGCTGTCTGGAATGCTCTGTAATTTTCAATCATGATTGGAAACTCACTGCTTTTCGAGCTGCTTTTTGTGTTTAGTTTGTCCTTCCCCCCCGATTAGCATGGTCGGCAACATACATACGTATATTAAATCGCCGCTCCTTCGTCATCGCCGGGTCGGAAATCTTGTAACTACGTAGCGAACGGTATTGTGGGAGCACACACATCGCCACCGAGGCTGCAACGGTGCACCGGCTAGGCCAAGCATCGCCACCACCTCGCGGCAATTAGGGATGGGCACGACATTCCTGATTACCAGGAACGCACCCACATCCCGGGGAATAGGAGTAAAAACACGTTGTGAGAGAGTTAATTTGGTTCTTCGGGGCCCTGCGTGTAACATGGCCAGGCTTGCCTCATCCATCGTGGACAGCCCAGCCCTGGGGTTTGTCTCTCGGCGATCGTGAATTTTGCTCGGTCGATGCCGTCGAAGTGTGGATTGTGCAGAGGCCTCAGTAAGACCCCCCCCCCCCCGCATCCTCCCCTGTTCATGTGCATGTATACACATGAACTGATACATGCGGGTACAGCTACATGCTTACATAAGTACAAACATGCATACATGAACTGTTAACACGTGCGAACTTGCGTGCATTCATATGTGGGCCGATATATTTATAAACACCCGACAGGTGGTTCACCGTTGGAGCTGAACCGCCTGGTTGATTCGGTCCATCATCGCTCTGGGGTTGATAAAATGAGTAGCAAGTTTGCGGGGTGTGGGGAGGGGGGGAGAGCGGCTCTCCTGTGGAAAGACTCGGCCCTGCCACAGGAATGAGGAATTCCCGCCACTGCGAAGCAGGAGTCGAGCGCCGCCACGATGCTCATTTGAGCAGGAAATCACTCTTGACGTTTTTTGTTTTTTGACTTTCATACAACGCGCTACCGAAACCAAACCTGATGACAAATGCGTTCCGCCTCCCCCCACCGCTGCTCCTATCTTGCAGAGTACACCCGCTTCGAAGCCAAGATTCACGACCTCCGGGAGCAGATGATGAACAGCAGCATCAGCTCCGGATCGGGCTCGCTGAAAACCAGCCTCAAGCGCTCGCTCTACGTCAGGTGAGGCACGAATGTCTGACCGTCTCCAAACTTGTTTTTCCCCCGTCGGTGCTGGTCGGCGTCGCGTCGCCACGAGACGGAGAGTACGCGAGTTGAATAATCTCTCTCGTGGAGCTGCTGCAACTGTGCAGATTAGAGAACGGCCCGAGGAAGCGGGTATTGCAGAGCTACGTCTTGAGATCCCCTTCAAGTGCTACAGAACTGCCCGTAGAAGCGGGTATTCAGAGCTTCCTCCGAGATCGTTTTTAGTGCAAGAGAATTGCCCACGGAAGCGGATGTCGCAGCGCTCCCTCGGAGATCCCTTCCAAGTGTGAGTTTTGTTTCATCCAGGCGATCCCTCCCTCCCTCCCCCGCTAACCCAGATTATCGAGAGTCGACGATGTTCGGTTGAACTTTCGGGCAAAGGCCCTTCCTTCTGTGAGAGACTAATAGAGGGCTGAGCGACGAGCTGACTTTATAATTTGGCGATCGCACTTTACACTGTGGGGGGGGGGGGGCGGGGGTGTGGGGGCTGAGAATACTGAGACTAAAAAAATGTCCCCGACTCGTCTGTAATCCGAGAGGTCTCGTGTAATCTCCGGTCGACGTTTAGACTATTTGGAATTTTTGTTTTGCTGCTATAAATGTTCAAATGATGGGCCACTTTGTTGGCCAGGTCGCTTCTGACAAATCAGTTAAAACCTCAGTGGGGCTTAGCCTGGTAAGACGGGGATGGTTTAGTTTTATTTGTATGTGTTTGAGTGATTTGTTTGCTTTTCATGCACTTTGCACTCCCGTTTGTTTTTCTAACGTTCTTATCCGCCCCTACTGGACGTCTGTGAAAAAGAGCTTCATAGCTCATCGGATTCCTAGAGTTTAAATACATCTTCAGATTCTGATTTAAATTGTTGCCAGTCAGCGTCGCCAAGTCATGAAAACGGCTCGTCATGCCGTGACACACGCGGCTCTGCTTCGGCGTGGCTCTCTCCCGCGCCAATTGATCTCAACACCAACCTCGGCTCTTTGTACGCCGAGTGAGTACGTGCGCTAACTCTCGGAGAGCTAACCCGATGATGACTCTATCTACGAATGGGAAACCTCCCCCCCCTCCTCCCGCGTTCGATGAGTCAACCTCGACACGGTTCACTTTGTAAAACTTGCCCCGTTTTTCCTCCCTCGCTCGACTCCAAAGTTCACTGTCGTAATTCACTCTCGTTTGCTTCGCCGTCAAGAGAGCCGCGGGTTGCAACACACCTGGGCGCAATAAAACGAGAGCGCCGATTGAGCTTGGGTCACAGGGGGCTGCTATTGTTTTTACCAGTGCTCGCAAAAAACGAGGCCAGGACAGAACTCGCAAGGCGCTTTGCCAAACAACCGTCACGCTCCGCCGTTGGAGTCTGGTGCTTTGCGGAGACCCGGAGTGGCTTGTTTGGTGCGAAGGTTTCGCAGCTCGGTGGCCAGCTGCCGCCCCGGTTAACACCGCGGTTGCATTTGCCGTGCGTGCAACTGCAAAAAAGTGGAACCGCCCCCATTCACGAGAAAATCGCGCAAGTCGTGCGTGACTTTCAAGTGGATGAGTGTGTGCGGGCGTGTGTCATTGGTGCTGGCCACCCCACCCCCATCGTGTGCCGTGGTCGGTCTTCACAGCAACTTGCCCCAACGGTCTGTTAAGGCCACACGGGGGATCTTTGTCTTTGTGTGGCCGTTAACACGCTGCCCTGCAACCTGGCGACTTGGGTTCAAATCCCACTCGTGGCCACCAACACCAGGGATGATTATTTGAACTGGTCCTGGGCTTTTCTTATGTAGACTCAACCCAATACTATTGTGTAAATATTAGTATTTGGGATGCAAAAGCGGTCGGGCATGGCACTGGTCACACCACTCCCTCGTGTGCCATGCCAGCCTTCATAGGTGCTCGCTAATAGCACTTGCCCCAGCAGTCTGTTAAAAGCTACAACCGAGGATCTTTATCTTTGTAGACAAGTCAAAGACACAGTTCAGCACACGGGGAGTGGTAGTGTGTGTCATAGCTAGTGCGCTGCACTATGAACCCAGTAACCCGAGTTCGATTTCCGCCCATGGAAAACACCAATGACGATAATCTAAACCGGTCCGGGGCCTCCCCTGGGTCGACTAAACCTCAAAAGAGCGCCCGGTGCGGTGTGTGTAAAACCTCGCCGCTCGGGAGGGAAAAGCGGCCGCGCGTGGGGCTGGCAATCCCTTTTTTCGGGCAACAGTTTCTCTTCTCAGCTTCTCGCGTGGCCTGCCGCGGGTAAATAGCGTCACGGCGTTCGCAGCGCCGCGGTCATTTCTTCGGATGGGGGGAACCTCAGTTTAACACGTAGGCTTTCGCGACCAGCTAGAGGTTTCTGGGTTGGATCGCGCAATTCTGTAGAACGTTGTTTGTTTACTCGCCAACACACAAGCAGTTGGTGCTGAACTAGTAACAAATTGGCACGTTTTGTTTACGTGACATACTTTACTAATTGGCCGTGTCGGGTGGTGGCGGGTTTATCGACACATTTGTATTGACGCGATCTAACTCAAAAACCTCTTGTGGGTGTTATATTGGTTGTCTGCCTTGAAAAAGAGCCAGCCGCATAGCTCACAGGCTTTACTCGGGGGGGGGGGGGGGGGGGGGGGGGATCGAATAATAATGAAACTTTGTGAATTACCACGTGCAACAGAAGCTGAGCAGCTTTGCGCGTTTCATCGTCCGAACAATTTTTTATTTGATAAAAGTGCTCGCCGAGCGGGAAGGGGCGCCCAGCCCGCCGAGCGGCGGCAAGCAACAAAACTGGGCGCTTGTCGAAGTCGTAATAATATATTAAGAGTGCAACGCGAACGTTTGAATTGAGCAAGGTTTGTTGTAACAAGGGAGGGAGGGTAGGCGGGAGGGATGGAGGGAGGGGAGGGAGGGAGGGATGGCGGGGGAGGGGCGGAGGGATGGAGGGATGGCGGGAGAGTGGGATGGAGGGAGAGAGGAATAGCGGGAGGGGAGAGAAATGGAGGGAGGGGAAAGAGGGAATTGGAGGAGAGTGGAATGGTTCGTTGGGAGGCAAGAAGCAGCAAGGGGGAAGCGTTGTGACCGGCACTGGGAGTTGGTGTGTTGAAACTAAAACTTGAACTTTTTCATTCTCCCAGGTAAGGCCTCACTGAGCGATATAGCTTTTTTCTTCTTTGGTTCTTTCGGTAAAGTCACGTACAATGATAATAAAATAATAAATTGATAAAATAAAATAACACAATAATATTCTCACGACGTTTCGGCCACAACACAAGCGGCCTTCATCAGGTGAAGGGGTGCGAGACTGTCTGGTAGGACAGCGCTGGAGTGAAAGAGCCACGTTCAGATACGGCCTTTAAGCTGTGTGAGAGGAACAAAGCGCCTGCTGCAGAAATAGAGCTTGTACCGAAAGAACCAAAGAAGATGAATCATTGCAGTCACGAAAGCTTTAAATCGAGATATAGCTTTTTCTTAAACAACCTGGCTATCACAAATGATAGCTCAACGAAGTGGCTTGTCATAAAAGTGGACATTTATAGCAGCCAAATGCATTATTCTAAATGTGGGTGGAAAAAACCGGAGGACCCGGAGAAAATTCCACACGACCACGGAGAGAGAAACGTGCAGCCTCCAGATATGCAGACGTCAGGGTTAGGATTGAACGTTTGTGAAAAAGTTATTTGTATTCTTAGCTCTTTCGGTAAAGTCACGTTGAAGGGAAACAACAAAATAATAAAATATATAAAACAATAAAAATTCTCACGACGTTTCGACCATAACACAAACGGTCGTCATCAGGTGTGTCGGTTTGCATAAATTATGACGACCGTTTGTGTTATGGGGTGAAACGTCGTGATAATTTTTATTGTTTTATATATTTTATTATTTTGTTGTTTCCCTTCAACGTGACTTTACCGAAAGAGCTAAGAATATGAATTACTGCAGTCACGAAAGCTTTAAATCAAAATTTAAGTTATTTGCAGTTAATTGGATTCCTCCAGTGTAAATACATATTCTGATTCTTAACCCACCATCCCCTGTACACCAGGCGAAGTAGTTAACATCCGCCACTGCGGCGCGCTAAACAGCATGGACGAAACGAAACGCTAGGTCTGACCTCGCCTCACCCTGCTCGATAGATATTTATATTCCGTAATGAGTGAAATGCTCGGCTCGCCGTCGATGCCTCCTTGCTTTGTTCGCACTCAGTGGCCATTATCGTAGCATCGCACGCGCACACAAGGACAAAGATCCCCCGTATAGCCTTCAGAGTTTTTTTTTCGGGCAAGTGCTTGCTCGCGAGCACCTCTGAAGACTGGCCATGGCACACACACGAGGGCACGAGCGGCCAGCACCGTGTCCCGCCCGCCTTTGCCTCCCGCACTGGCGATGTTTACACACCGTACCAAGAGAGTCGGCCGAGAGAAGGCCCAGGACCAGTTCAGAATATCGGCCACTGTCATTGGTCGTGAGCGGGAATCGAACTAGTGTGGCTAGGTTCGCGGCGACACCGGTCGTGTTCACGTATGCACACACAGCGGCTTTCATTCACAAATTTTTCCGTGTTTTTTTCACTCAAACCTAGCCCACGCCACCCCCGTCTGCTGCGAAAGACGAACAAACAGATGCATTGGGCCGCGACAACATTTGTCTCTTTGCTGTAAAAACAACAACAACACTAACGTGTATTTTATTATTATTTTCGTGGTGCCACTTAGCCGGGGATGGGCCCTCAATGGCTACACATGTGGCTTTTAAGAATCCCCTGCCACGCGTATGACCCTCGAGTTGAAAAAATGCACCGTGTGACTTGTAGGGATGCCGGTTTGAGTGCTCTGTAATCCCTCCTGTTGCACACTGCAGTTGCCGCTTGCCGACGTTTCCAGAGAAAGAATGGGAAAAAAAAAATCCTTCCCATAGGGTGCCTTAAAGATTAAAATGTCTGTCTTCTGGCGGTAGATAAAACGAGTCTCCCTTCTATTTCTGAGATGCGATCAGGAGGTTGTGATGG